ACAATGGATAACAGTTTGTTCTTCTCTTTTTATTCTTCCTGAAAAGCAAAGTTGAGTGGAACCGTGCCCATAATGTAGACAACGAAATAAATTATCGGTCATAAGAGCACTTTAGAGTTAGTCATTAATTGAAGTTAAGTAATACTAACTCCAATCTTGTAACTTCAGAAGAACATCCCCTCTCTCTTCCTAACCCTTCTCCAAAGAGAAAAGGAAAAGAACTTCTTCTCTCTTCTTTATGTACGGTTGATGAAAGCAAGCATGCATACATGCTGATCATGTTGGGGTCGCATCCATATATACATCCACATGTGTTTGTTCATTCATTAGTTGTTATATTCTTGTTTAGCAGACCTGTTACTATTTCCTTTCCTGCGACTACATTTCCCTTATTAAAAAGTAAAAGCAAAAACTCCCTGAAATGTTTTCTATAGATATGACTGGTCAGTTATTTTTTGTCATATATATTAGGGCATTGCGTCCTTTCTCACCAAATCTAGAAGAAGACTTTTCATGCTTTGCTCTCCATCCTCTTTATATTGTCTTTGCAAACTGGCATACCCCCAAGCAAAATGGACTGTAAAATCCCAGCCACCACAGCATCCAGCCTTCCCCTCTAGTAACCTATTTTAACCAACACCAGTCACATGTTTTGCCACCTTACACAGTGACAACCTAATCAATTCCAGAGTCCTAATTTCCCCCGTTTAAAAAACCACAGTTCATGTGATTATCTGTCAGGAGTCGCGACTCCAATCAAAAGAACCCTTAAATTTTTAAAATGGAAAAATGAATTTTCAACTCCCTGAACAATCATGTGATCTTTAAGCAATATAGACATGTGCGGGGCTCTTAGAGTTGTACGTTACTCAAATATTGCTTGCTTGTTGTTAAGGTGATGTGTAAGTAAGCTGTACAACAGGGATAAAGAGGAAGATGGGAAGGGAACAAAGAGGAGAAAGAAACAAAATTGGCAGCAATTCAAGTAGGGATGGCAATGTGGCGGTGCGGGTGCGGGGCGGGGCGGGTCAACATAACAACAAATTCAGTTTTTTGCGGGTGCGGGTGCGGGTGCGGGTGCGGGTTAAGATTTAAAATTTTCGAATAAGTACAACTTTTCAACTATCGATCACTAATATTCAACCAAGAGATATTTTTTTTCCAGTATTGGACTTATAATTCCGTTCTCCTATGAATTGGATCATTGTAGTCTCAAATAGATTTAGTTTTTTAAATTGATTCATAGTAGACGTCTATTCAGTTTATTGTAAATATGTATGCTTCTGCCAATTGCATCACTGGGAAGAAGAGCTGCTTGTTTTATATTTTATTTACTGCTCCAAAGTCTCACTTTTAACTATATAGTTAATTTGTTTTAAGCTAAGTTCAGGTATTTGATCTCATTACATTGTACAATCTGAATTGTATATTAGAACTCCCTAGTTATGCGTATTTAAAATATGACTTCCTTGGTTTGCCACTGGATTCTGATAGAAACTTTTACATTAGCAATGACATATATAAACATAACTGAAAAGACANTGCGGTGCGGGTGCGGGTTAAGATTTATAATTTTCGAATAAGTACAACTTTTCAGCTATCGATCATTGATATTCAACGAAGAGATATTTGTTTTCCAGTATTGGACTTATAATTCCGTTCTCCTACGAATTGGATCATTGTAGTCTCAAATTGATTTAGTTTTTTAAATTGATTCATAGTAGACGTCTATTCAGTTTATTGTAAATATGAATGCTTCTGCTAATTGCATCACTGGGAAGAAGAGCTGCTTGTTTTATATTTTATTTACTCCTCCAAAGTCTCACTTTTAACTATATAGTTAATTTATTTTAAGCTATGTTCAGGTCTATGATCTCATTACATTGTACAATCTGAATTGTATATTAGAATGACATACTAATAGCATTGAGTAGGATTTATAGTCATTCCCTAGTTATGCGTATTCAAAATATGACTTTCTTGGTTTGCCATTGGATTCTAATAGAAACTTTTACATTAGCAATGACATATATAAACATAATTGAAAAGATAAAAATAAAAATAAAATAAATTGAAAAAAAAAAGACGAAAATTTTGTGGGGTGAGGCGGGTAACGCGGCAGTGGATGTGGGTGAAAATGCATTGCGGGGCAGGGCGGGGCGGGTTGAAATTTTGCGGGTTAAGGTAGAACCCGCCCCGCACCCGCACCGCCCCGCACCGTTTGCCATCTCTAAATTCAAGGGTGTTTAGGTGGAGAGAAGAAACAGAGCAACAGTTTCCAAATAATGGTTGTTTCTGTAAAGATGAACAATCTATCTACAAACACAAATCTGGAGTATTTTCTTTAGGGAGCACCGTAGAATTTTCCTTTAGGCAAGAAGACCAATATATCTCACACTAAGCACAGAGGCTGTATTTACTGTTTATTTCTCATGGATAAGTTATATAAGAGTTGAATATGGCTCAGATCCCAAAGCAGACCAGAAACTTTCCTGTTGATGATTACATTGCGTTATTTATTTAAAATAAAAAACTTTCCTGCTGATGAGAGCTGCATATCAAGAGAACTGCATGTAGGTATCTGGTTGTATTGCTTTACCTTCTGGGTGAAATGCAATGATTAATAAAACTTAATGTACAAAGAACATGCAATGATTGACAATCTATTAGTACTATAACCTGTGTCTTCCTTTTGCAGAAAATCAAGGAAGATTTCCCCGCCCTATCGTGTGATGCTGCACAATGACAACTTCAACAAGAGGGAGTATGTAGTTCAAGTACTCATGAAGGTTATACCAGGGATGACGGTCGACAATGCTGTTAATATCATGCAAGAGGCGCATTACAATGGTCTTGCGGTGGTGATAATCTGTGCTCAAGTTGATGCAGAAGAGCATTGCACGCAGCTAAGAGGCAATGGTCTGCTAAGCTCCATCGAGCCTGCCAGTGGAGGTTGTTGAAAAAAATGAACCTGATCGGTGGAGGCTACACTTTGCATAGATATTGTACATAAATGTTGAGAAATGGCATAGTAAGTACCTCATTACCTCTAGATCATATTATCCGTAAACAATGTCAGCACCGCAGATCAATGAGTTTGTATACTAGAAATATATCAATCAATTAATCAACTATGCCTCAATCCCGAATAGTTGGGTCAATCCCTAATATGCATCCTCTATCCCTATTCTCTTCTATCCAAGTTGATTTTTTTCATTTCATACTAAATCCCATTCCTACAGTTTAATCCGGAAATGAAAGAGAGTCTACCGAAAGCCCTTGGTACTTGTCTGATCAATCACACTGATAGCTTCAATAGTTCACTGAAATTTATGGATATCACCTATGTGAATTTTTTGCTCTCTTTGAAGTTTTTGTGTTTTGTATTACTAGAAATAGAAGAAAGAGTAGAAAGATTTACCTTCTGGCGTGAGTCTGAGGACCTAGCATTTTATGCTAGATACTGAAGAATGTGTTTAATGTTGAATTCTTAAAGAATTGGTTGAATAAGATACAACAACAACATACCCAGTATTATCCCACGTTTGGGGAGGGTAGTGTGCACGCAGACCTTACCCCTACCTTGTGAAGATAGAGATGTTGTTTCCAATAGACCCTCGGCTCAGGAGAGCATAAGCACCATAATGAAAAAATAGACAAGAAGGGACATCACCAAAAAGCAATGTAAAAGCAGCATAAAAAACAACACGGTAATAAGATGACCAAACTGAAAGAAAATGACGGTTAGTCATAGAAACCTACTACCAACAGAATGCGAGAGTGCGTACTAATATTGCCGGTATGAACAATCTAGACCACCTACCCTACTACCCTAATCCTTGACCTCCACACCTTCCTATCAAGGTTCATGTCCTCGGTCAGCTGAAGCTGCGCCAAGTCCTTCTTCGGTCTACCTCTCCGTAGGCCCTCCAATATCAACCTCTCACACCTCCACACTAGGGTCCTCCTCGCATGTCAAAACCACCTAAGCATCGCTTCCCGTTTCTTGTCTTCAATAGGGGCTACATATATTTAATAAAATTAAATAAAAGAGTCTAATATTAAAAATGGCTAATTAGTCAAATTGTAAGATTTTATATTAATAATAAATAGGGTATAAGAATTGTTACGAAATTAAAATAAGGGAGATAGACGTTATATCATAAACCACGAGGGAGGTCAGTGTGATGGAGCGAAACCTAAAGGGAGGTATCTGAGATTATCCAAAATTAGTCTTGTTATATGGCCATATCCATTAAAACTATTTGCATTCTATATCATAACAATCTCGCTAAGGAGAAAGATCAAATATTACTTTCACAAAAACATAATGTAACGTATTTCAGACCTAAATCTTTTGTGCTCTTGATTCATATTTCTCAACAGATATTCCTTTTAAGTTTCGTCACAAAGCTACACAATTCATCTTTAAGTATCTCATGGGTGCCATTGAGGCTCGGTGGTCACCATATCTTTTGCCACAAATAAGATTAGAGTAGTGGTGGCAATTTTAACCCATAATTACTTGATCCGTCCAACCCGCCCGTGATAAACCCATATTCAACCCGCCCACTTTAAATATGGGTTAATATGGGCTAACCCGTTTTTGACCCACAATAAAATGGGTAAAAACGGGTTGGATGTGGGTTAAATGCGGTATTTGTTTACCCATGTATGATTGTTTCCTTGTTTGTAATTTCTCGTTGACCTCACAAAGCAAAAGTCTGGGTATCCATATTTCCATTCATTTCAACCTTATCTCCAATAAAGCAATTTTATAAAGAATACAAAATGTTCATCACAAGTGTTTTGCCAGTTTATATTTCTATGCTTTTATCTTGTTACGATAAATTCCATAATTATGCAGTTTACAATTTTTATAAGATTATTTTATGATGATGTTATAAATTATATTGTGAAAATACTTATCCTTTAAATCTATCAGTTATACATGTACGCTGCAAACTAAGTTTTGGATACAAATCGGTAAATCTTATGCTGGGAAGAGTATTTTTAATCTTGGAGTGTATATAATTTCGAAAGTAAATTTCAGCAATTGAAACGAGCTTTTGACGTAAGTTTGTGTTTCAAGTTCTTCTATTCACTACAAAAGTTCTTATATCTCTTATTGAGTGATCCATTCTTCACTGAAAATAGAATGAGTTCTCACTCATGTATAAAATGGGTCAATCTGTTTTTTACCCAACCCATTAGTCACCCAACCCGTTTTGACCCGCATAAATATGGGCTGAGTTGGGGTGTGACTCATATTTTATTTGACCCATTATCAACCCGCCCATTGCCACCACTAGATTAGAGCTTACATCTTGCAAGTTTATTTAACTATATCGACTCAACGACTTTCATGCGCTCCATTACAAAATAAACTTAATAATCTGAAAGATTAGAAAATTACCGGTGCCTGAAAAATATATATGAGTGACCAGTATGTAAAAGACTTACATGTTTACCCTTAAAACAGATAACAATTAAATTTGTATGCGGTTTTAAGGATATGTGGATTGATTCCAGAGAGTAGGTTTGCCGAAACGATGGGAAACGATATATGAACCTCGGTTCCTTCCTTCGTACGTTACAACCGAGGTGATAGATAAGCTGAAACGTCTCGTCAATCACGTTGTTCTGACTTCGGACATGTGTCAGTCATCGGCTGGCTGCGTTTGAATGTGAAATGTCACGCATTGACTGTTTTCCCCCTATAAAAGCTTCGACCTTTTGCATTTCTTACACTTTCCAATCCTAGCTTTTACCTTCGAATTTTCTAACAGCTTTTAACTTTTCCGAATCCTCATATCTTGCTTCTTGAACCTTTATATCTTCATCTTTGATCTTCAAACCTTCATATTTTTTCTTGGATTTCCAACCCAAATCTTCATATCTTCATCCAACCTTCAAACCTTCATACTTTTTTCTTCAAACCTTCATGTTTTTCCTTCGAATCTTCATACTTCCCTTCAAATCTTCATATTTTCCCATATCACTATGGCTAAATCTTCCAAGTCATTGCCTCAGCAGACTGCCCCTTCATCTTCCCACCCGACCGCAGATGCCGAGGTGGCTCCAGAGCCCTCTATGAAAAGCTTCATACCTGGGGACTGCTCTATCGGGGATGACTTCAAGGTCGAGAAGGCCTCTAGCCAACAAGACCGGGGTAAGGGAGCATCAAGATACATATGCTTTGTCACCGAAGAAACACTACCCGTAGTCCGAGCGGACTGTAAGTGGGAGGGCAAGGACGTGGTAGTCCCCGAGCCCAATGACGATATAACTACTCACGTGAAGGGGTATCTGAGTGTTTACACTTACCCCTTCATGCTCGCCCATGTGGATCTCGTAGTTCTTGCTTTCTACAAGAGATATGAGGTATGCCTTGGGCAAATTCACCCATTCTTCTGTAGGATTGTGATCCTCTTGCGCTACTTTGTAAACAACACCGAGTCTCCCCGGTGCACCCTCGACCACCTACTCCTCTTGTACAGTCCTCGAATCTTTCGAGGGGGACTGATCAAGCTCGTCCGCCTAGCAAGCAAGGCTCCTTTCTTGAGCATTGACGAGGACCGAGACCGAGGTTGGCAGGGGCGGTTCGTTCGGGTGAAAACCGAAGACCTGATTCCCCCCGAGTTTATGCCGTTCCCCGAGGAGTGGAACACATCCCGTAAGTATTGTCTTTCTTGGGTATTTCTTCCTTTTTATTTCTTTTTCTCATCGCTTGTGTTTGTGGTCGTGCAGCCGTTGTCCAATTTCCAGATGCAATCCCCCGATTCAAGGATTGGATCGAGGGGATTTGTAAGCAGATGCCTTACTCCGAGCGCGCATGGTGCAAGCTTTCGAAGGGAAAATGGGAGGCCCGTTCTCAGGGTGAGGTTCTTTCCTCAAATTTTTACAATCATGCTTTTAACTTATATAGTGCTAACTTTTCCTTTTTTCTTACAGGTCTACCTAAGACCACTAAACTTAGGCCGCTTGATGAGGACGAGGATCCGCCTTTTCCTGCTGAGCCCTCAGTCTCGGGACAGTCTGGTGTTGCCATGAAGGAGGAGAAGAAAAAAAGAGAATGTCGACGGGTGCCTCGGACCCCGAGGGGAAGAGGAAGAAGAGGGCGGCCACCCGGACCCGGAAGCCCAAGAAGAATACCAAGTCCAGGGCACCGGACCTTGGCTATCTCTACCAGCTCAGGTATGAGCCCGAAGAAGATGACATCTTCGTTGCCCATGGATCGCCCCCCACTGGGGATCAGATAACGACAGAGAAAGGGGGCCACGAGGCTGATCCCCTTCATGCTCGGGAACCTGAGGGGGAGATGGAGGTTGTGACCTCCCAGGAAGATGCTTCCGTCCCGAAGGAGGCGACCGGTGTCATTGACATCGTAGAGATGCCCTCCTATAATGAGTCCATGCTCGAAGAGGCCCAAGCGGGCAAACAAAAGTCAAGTGAGGGAGTGCAGGGTTCGGATGATCCCCTTAAATCCTTTTTTGACGGCATGGACATGTCCACACTGGAGGATTATTTCGGGCTGGGCCACCTGGAGATCCCGAAGCCTTCGGGAGCTGGCGGGCCGAGTTCGAGCCCAAAACTGGTGAAGCAATTTCCCGCACCGAGTGTGGACCATGGGCACAAGAGAATGATCGTTCTTGCAGTCCCGGAGGATGCTTGGGTCCTGTATGCTCCGGTGGGCGTAGCCAGCTACCTCCAATACCTGGTGACCGAGAAGGACCAGGCAAAGATGAACGAGGTGGGCACGTCAAGTCTTTTCAACGAGGCACAACAGGAGCTAAACCGGGTAAGACGCCAACACTTTTACACCTATTTATGAATTCTACTTAAGTTTTGATGTCTCTTACTACTTTTGTTGTTTTACAGGTCTCAGTGCTTCACCATGAAAGCTTCCTCCAGTACCGCTTGGAAATCAGCAAGCTCGAGTTTGAGCTTAAAGAGCAGGTCCTGAAGAAGGACATATACAGGCTTCTCAACGAGCAACATGACGAGGCCTTAAAGACCTCCCGATTCTCCAGGCCGAGCTGGAAAAAGCTCAGAAGAAGGCCTCGACCTTAAGCGGGAACATGCCGACCTGGTTGAAAAGGTAAAGGTCTTTGAAGCTAAAAATGAGGAGCTAGTCTTGGTGACTAACAACACAACTTTGCAGGTCCAACAGAAGATTGACCTGATCGACCAGCTCTGAGCCGAGATGAACGAGGTCAAGGCCATGGCGGAAGAGCGGAAGGGCAGGATGGACCTGCTGACTTCAGAGAAGGAAATTGCAAAGGCGGAGTTAGCATTGGTTAAGAACCAACTTTGGGTGGCGAAGAACAAAGCTGATAAGTGATCTCAGCTGAATGATGATCTCCGAGCACGATTGAGCTTGGCCGTCACAAAACGGGATGCCCTCGGAAGAGAATATGAGGCACCGAGGTCCAAATTAGATAGAACCTTTACTGATGCCAAGGAAATGGTGGCCCACTACAAGGCTGATGTGGAGGCAGCCGAGACTCACCTAAAGACAAATGTTGAATATGTGAAGCAGCTGTCCCGAAGAGAGACCCTCGAAGAGATCCATGCCCAAGGGTTCGACCTATAGGCCGAGATTGAGTAAGCTAAGAAGCTCGAGGTTGAGGCAAAAGAGCTCTATAAGCTTGAGGGTTCCGAGGGCTCTGAGGGATCTGAGGGCTCCGAAGGTTCTGGCGACGAGTTAGTCCCCGGTGAAGACTAGACGTAGATGCCTTAGTACTTTTTCAGTTTTTGGTTTTCCTTATGTATATTTATTTTTTGTTCATATTGATGCCGTTTTATTGGGCCTTTGTAAATACATTTTGGAATATATATATGAAAATTTTCCTTTCTGGCAATATCGTGTCTTTACTTTTCCAGCATCTTTCATTCGTGTATTATTTTTGGTGCCTTAACATAAAATTAGATGTAGTTCCGGGGTATTCATTTTTCGGAAGTTCAACGAAGCCCGACTTCGATGCAACTTTGTTTCCTCGTGGCTTTGGACCCTCGATGAGACTGGTAGGTTCTCAAGATGCTTAAGTGTTTTTAGACAATGTTTTTGCCGAGGGTAACCCTTTAGTAAGTTTCGAATTTTTTTTGTAAAGGTCATACTTTCTGGTTACGGGCTTCGGACGTCTCCGAGCCATTTTTAAGGTGGCCGTAGCCTTTTATATTTGAGCATCGCCTAATAGGTTTGGTGCCTCCAGGAATCGGTAGCTCAGGCTGTCAAAATTTTCTTCGGGCGACAGTCCCCGAGTAGGGGTAGCCCTAGGGCTCGATAGTCCCCGAGTAGGGATAGACCTTGAGCTCGATAGTCCCCGAGTAGGGGTATACCTTGGACTCGATAGTCTCCGAGTAGGAGTAGCCCATGGGCTCTAGGATCCGGAATCGAAGAAGCAAAAAATACGTAATAGCAAAGCGGAATTTTCTTTCATATCTCAATGTGCCAAGTACATGATCGAAATCACATAAAAATTTGTGTCATGGCTAAAGTGGACTATGTGAGCACGGTTCATACGACCGTTTGGCCCTTACAGTGAATCCTAACCACCAAGCCTTAGCTTTTAGTATACAAAGTTTTCTTTTTTCCTTGCTAAAAACCTTAATCCGAGGGTAATGGCCTCCAGTATTCGAGATCAAACTTGTGAGGGCTCAGATACTGTTGATATGAAGTGAACGATTATTGACTCCAGTTTGAAACCGGTCTTCGAATCTAAGTTAGCACGTTTTACTGTTGCCTCGTTAAAAACCTTGCCGCAAAACCCATTTTGGGACAAAATCGGTTCAAGGAAAAAAGAGTGCGACACGTGATTTCATACCTAATAGTCACATCCATCCTTGGTCGTTTACCTGCAGATGTTAGTCTAGTTTATAACATGGTTAAAGAGTAATTGAGTTCGTACCTTAGTAGTAGTACCGCTTTAAGTGTGCCACATTCCAGTTGTTCGATAGTTGTACGCTGTTTCCCGCTTCGTGTTTTTACGATTTACGAGCCTTTGCCGGTTATTCTGATAACTCGATATGGTCCTTCCAAGTTCGGTCCCAGCTTCCCCTCGTTCGGGTTCCTGGTGTGTAATGTTACTTTCCTCAACACCAAGTCCCCGACTTGAAAGTGTTGGAGGCTGGATCTTTGGTTGTTATACCTTTCTATTCGTTGTTTCTAGGCGGGAAACCGGACCAGGGCGACCTCCCGCCTTTCATCCAATAGTTCCAGGCTCGTCATCATGGCCTTGCCGTTTGGCTTTTCTGTCGCATATTGGAACCCAAGGCTTGGTTCTCCCTCCTCGGCTGGTATTAAGGCTTGGTTCTCCCTCCTCGGCTGGTATTAAGGCTTCGGCTCCGTAGACCAATGAAAATGGCGTGGCCCCGATGCTAGATTTTGAAGTCGTACGGTATACCCATAGGACTTTGGGCAGGATCTCCTTCCATTTCTCTTTCACACCGGTCAACCTCTTTTTGAGGTTTTGAAGTATGGTCTTGTTTGTTGATTTTGCCTGTCCGTTACCACTAGAGTGATAAGGAGTTGATAGTATCTTCTTGATCTTGTGATCTTCGAAAAGTTTACTTACCTTGCTGCCGATGAATTATTTTGCATTATCACAAACGACCTCGGCCGGTAATCCAAATCGATATATTATATGGTCCCAGATGAACTCAATAATTTCTTTCTCCCATAACTTTTCGAATGCTTGAGCCTCGACCCATTTGAAAAAATAATCAGTCATGAATAGTATGAATTGAGCTTTACCGGGTACCCACGGTAGGGGACCGACAATGTCCATTCCCAACTTCATAAATGGACGCAGGGACAAAACCGAGTGGAGCATTTCTCCCGGTTGATGGATCATCGGGGCATGTCTCTAGCATTCATCACATTTCCGTACGAAGTCCTTCACAACTTTCTCTATCTCGGTCCAGTAATAACCGTGCCTAATCAATTTTCGAACCAAAGATTATGTCCCCGAATGATTTCTGCAAGTACCCTCGTAAACTTCTCTCAGGGAATATTCAGTCTCTCCCGGTCCCAAGCACCTGGCTAGCGGGCCATCGAAAGTTCTCTTGAACAGTGCCCATTCGACCAAGCTAAATCTAGCAGCCTTGGTACGTAGGGCTTTCGATTCTTTGGGATCTGAAGGCAATTTTCGGTCTTTAAGTAATCAATATACTTGTTCCTCCAATCCTAAGTTAGACTTGTTGAGTTTACTTCGGCATGGCCTTCTTCTATCACCGATTTCATGAACTACACTACCATTCTCGAACTGAATTCATCATCATCGACGGACGACCAGAAGTTAGCCAGATCATATGTCTCGCTGTTCTGATCTCGGGTATGTGGTGTAGGGTCCATTCCCTGAATTAATGCAGTGTTACCTATAATTTGTCCAAGTACCTTCGCATCCGTTCTTCTTTTACTTCGAACGTTCCGTTAACTTGGTTCACCACGAGGAGGGAGTCACATTTGGCTTCAATCACCTCGCCCCCAAGGCTTTTAGCCAATTCTAGACCTGCAATCATAGCCTCATACTCGGCCTCATTGTTAGTCAATTTCACAGTTCTAATAGATTGCCTAATTACATTTCCCGTGGGTGGTTTTAATACGATGCCGAGTCCGGAACCCTTCGCGTTCGAGGCCCTGCCCATAGAAAGGGTCCAAATTCCCTAGGTGGTCCCCAAGGATAACAACAATTCCCTCTCGACTCGAGTATTAAGGCCGGCATAAAGTCGGTCACGAAGTCTGCCAAAATCTGAGATTTTATGGCGGTTCGGGGTCGATACTCGATATCGTACTCGCTAATTTCAACGGTCCATTTGGCCAACCGGACCGAGAGCTCGAGTTTGTGCATAATTTTCCTCAGCGGGTAAGAAATTATGACACATATGGGATGGCATTGAAAGTATGGCTTTAGCTTTCTGGAGTCGCTTAGCAAAGCGAATGCCAATTTTTCTAGGTAAGAATACCTTGTTTCGGCCTCGCCTAGAGTTCTACTGACATAGTAAATATGAAATTGCGTACCTTCTTCCTCCTGGACTAAAACTCCACTTACCGCCACCTCGGAAACCGCCAAGTAATGGTACAAATATTCGTCCGCCTTTGGAGTGTGGAGCAGGGGCGGACTCGATAGGTATCATTTGAGTTCTTCTAAAGCTTGCTCGCATTCTGGGGTCCAAGAAAAGTTATTCTTTTTCTTTAATAGTGAGAAGAATCGATGGCTTTTGTCCGAGGACCTCGATATGAACCGACTAAGGATGGCTATACGCCCGGTTAGCCTTTCAACGGCCTTGATGTTATCCACCACAGTGATGTCCTCTATGGCTTTGATTTTGTTGGGATTGATCTTGATCCCTCGATTGGATACCATGAACCCGAGGAACTTTCTCGATCCGACCCCGAATGCGTATTTCTCCGGGTTCAACTTCATATTGTATTTTTTCAATATGTCGAAGGTCTCCTACAAATATTTCAAATGGTCTTCTTCTCGCAGGGACTTGAATAACATGTCGTCAATATAAACTTCCATGGATTCCCCTATCTGTTCTTCAAACATCACGTTTACTAGGAGTTGATAGGTGGCACCGACGTTCTTTAATCCGAATGACATTACATTATAGCAATAGGTGCCGAACTTAGTGATAAAAGAAGTCTTTACTTGATCGCCCGGGTCCATCCGAATTTGGTTGTACCCGGAATAGGCATCGAGAAAATTGAGTATCTCATGCCCGGCCGTCGCATCGATCATTCGATCGATGTTAGGCAAAGGGAAAGAATCCTTGGGGCATGCCTTGTTTAGATATTTGTAATCTATACACATTCTTAGCTTATTCTCTTTTTTAGGCATTACTACTATATTAGCTAACCAGTCTGGGTACTTAACCTCCCGAATGGATCCTATTTTAAGGAGTTTAGATACCTCGTCCTTGATGAATGCATATTTGACCTCAGACTGCGATCCCCTTTTCTGATTAACCGGATGGAACTTTAGGTCCATACTCGGCTTATGAGTGGTTACCTCCGGCGGGATCCTTGTCATGTCAAGATGAGACTAAGCAAAATAATTTATGTTAGCTTTAAGCAAAATCAATGAGTTTTTTCTTGAGCTTGGGGTAAACTCCATGCCCATGTATACCTTTCGATCCGGTGGTGTTCGATTAATATGACTTGCTCCAACTCTTCGATAGTTGATTTGGTGGCGTCAATGTCATCAGGACTTATGAATGATCTCGGGACTCCGTAATCATCCTCCTCGTCTACTCCTCGTTCCTCCGGCTCGGTCGAGACCGGAATCAGTAATTGCTATTTAATTTCTTCCTTTTTGGTCGGCTCCGTGTTCCTTGATGTCGAAACCACGAGCACCGGGATTACCTCATCGACTGCGAACATTTCCTTTGCGGCTGGCTGCTCTCCGTAGACCGTCTTGACTCTTCCCGGCGTAGGTAACTTCAGCACCTAGTGTAAGGTTGAGGGCATCGCCCTCATGTTGTGAACCCACAGCCTTGTGAATAGGGCATTGTACCTCATGTCCCCTTCGATCACGTAGAACTTTGTATCTTGGATCATCCCGATGGTGCTTACTGGCAGGGTTATCTCACCTTTAGTGGTTTTGCATGCCATGTTAAATCCGTTCAACACCCGGACCGCCGGCACTATTTGGTCCTATAACACTAACTTCTCTACGGCCCTCGATCTGATAATGTTGGCCGAGCTACCTAGATCAATCAACACATGTTTAACTTGAGATTTATTTATAAGTACGGATATTACCAGCGCATCGTTGTGTGGTTGCACGATGCCCTCGACATCCTCGTCGCTGAACAAAATGGTTCCCTCCGGAACATAATCTCGGGTGAGTTTTTCCC